AGAGTTGTGGCAACCACCCGGTTGGTCTAAGGTCTATTATCTATCTAGTAAACACAACTTTGCTTCATCGATGTGATATTGATAAATGACTGGTCTTCTTTGAAATTCACATTTTTCCTGTGTCTAAAGGGCAATGTGATGTAGTGGTTAACGTGTCGAGATTATACTCCGAACTGTCATGATTCGACTCCCAACGGGGGTGTTGATAAGACCTAGGCGAGGTCGAAACTGCACTGTGCTTTTGTCTGGATGAGAATACCTTTTGAGGATGCAAGGCTATGTGAAATTCAATGGAAGCGTTATGTCTACTTATCATTGTGGGAAGATTCAATTGCCAGTCCTTCATCACCTTAGTGAAATTAGGTGAATACATCTCATGTAGACATATTATACCTCCACATCGTTAGGTGTCTGGGTTCTACAGATGAAGCAAATATCTCTCGTCTCAGCTGTTCTGGGCATGTCTGCCATTAGACTCTTTCTTACCGATTGGCCAGAGTACTAATGCAAAATCAGCCAGAATCTCTGGTATGTTGAAGCATCAATTGCTGGCGTGTTTGGAGCTCACCCTAGCTCAGGGCGCGCTGTTCAGCAGAAGAGCCCAAATGATCCTCTCGGAGAGACATGTGTCGAGATTTATGGATAAGTTAAACGAGCTTAACGATGAAATTGTTTCTCGATGAGGATGAAAAGCTGATCGGATAGAACTTGGCACTTGAAAACATTCAGCAGGCATAAACAAACTCGGCATGGATGTCTATTACTTAAAGTTCTTTACATCTGAGCAGTTTGTAATTGGATATTTGTTGGCTTCGAATAGGCTACCATAAGCTGCTCTCGAAACACTGTGGGGTGCTTCCAGCACCTGTTAAGGGATCTTGAATATGAGTGAATAGCATGCACAAATAGCCGTTCAAATTCGCATAAAAGTGGTAGGCATTATATTTCATTCTTTATTGTCTGTGAATAAGGAGGCCACATTACACCAATGGTTCAAAGTTCGGCATTCTTTGCTTTATCTCTTCCTGAAATGCAGGTGTCCTACATGGAAATTTACTGTGAACGCGTGCGTGATCTGCTGAATCCGAAGAGTCGAGGAAACCTACGAGTTCGGGAGCATCCTTTGCTCGGACCGTATGTAGAAGACCTGTCAAAATGTGCCGTCCAGTCGTTTCGCGACGTCAATGAACTGATAGATGTCGGTAACAAATCCCGGTGAGTGATAGTCAGAATGTTCCATCCCTGCTTAGACCAATGTACTTGTTTGGGCACTAACTTTTTCTTTTCCTCGCCCTTAACTCACTTGTGGAGACTTAAATATCACTATGGTCTCAGCTGGTCTGCCTATCAGGCCCAGGAAGCTGGCTGTTTGGATTTTGTTTCCTCGTGCCTGAAACCACTGCATGGACTGCTGCTGTGTCCAGGGCAACTGGGGCATTTTTCAATGACTTAAATATCATATTTTTGATCTTGCTTTACTGTCTTCTTCCTCGATTTGTGCTAGATTCATAGGCTTAAGCTAATTCGTATCAGTATTACGTAAAACTATCCTCATAGATAATTTGAAAAAACGCAGTTAACTATGCTAAAGACCACATAATGGCCGATGCTGATGTCTTCTGAGGAATTTCAACTTATCTAAACTCGGGGTGTTCTGAGCATTTATGAAATTACACTACCTATCCTTTCACTTATTGACCTATATTCCTGGTGTTTTTGTCCTGAATATAAGGTGTTAGTTCATTGAGGGATATCTCTTGGTTACATAGTATCACCGAGATAAATACTTGGGCTGCCCAAGAAGTGAAAGTAAGAGGTAATTCAGTTACCTGTTTATTTATGTCCTATAGCTAGGAGAGGAATTTTTAGTATGATCTGGACTCTTTATGCGTGGGATCAGAAGCAGAAACATTACCATCATTCAAATCACCTTGGCTTCGGTGAGTTTAATTACAGATATTTCTGTAAAATATGCAATGCCTCTTAGCTCATATCTGTAATGAAGCTATGAATTTGACGCTTCTACCTAGTCTAGATCACATCAAAATGCTTAGTAAAAGTTACCTTTGATCATGATGTGCCAGACAAGGGCTTTATGACGATAGTCAGCATTAGCATAACTGAACTGAGCGAGCATTGAGTTTAAGGATAAGAAAGGCTTTCTCATAGGATAGGACCAAACATATTGTGGAAACGCACAATCATCTGATGTATTATTTATACTGTAGTGAATATATTGGTCGCCTGGCTATACTACTAAGGAGGCACTTATTCTGCTTCTGAGCATTATTAATCCCTGAAATATTGAGAGACTGAATGGAAATATAGTGAAAAAAAGACAATTTCTTCAGACAAACATATAGAGAGGCATCTAAATAATTATTTCATAGTTCGAAATTCGACAAGTCACAGTAAAAAAGTTCCATTATTTGTTGA